GATAGACCATGGCTGATGAAGATACGAGAGTGGCTTGGACCTACCCCGGTCTTGCCTCATTCCCCTGCCTGGGGAGGTGCGGGGATCTGGGCATGGGAACCAGGCAAAGTAGGCCTGGCCTCGAGGGCACTAGGCCTCAAATGCGTTTTATGTGTAAACTAAGTTAATTAAACGCGAGATTACGCCAAACGTTATGAGAAGACGTCCCCGTGTAATAACATCATCTTGTATATAAATAATATTGAGCACATTACACATACAAACGTTGTTGTGGGTTTGTATTATAATCATCGACCATGTGGTGTGACGTCACGCAGTATTTAAGAGTCCAATTTTATTTTGATTTAAAGCTTTCGTGACTTGCAGGGATTCATATTCTTGGTTCTTTTGGTAAAGTCACGTAGAAGAGAAATAATAAAATAATACAAATATAAAACAATAAAAATTCTCACGTTTCGACTGCAACACAAGCAATCATCATCAGGTGTGAAATTATATATATAAATAAATGATATAAATAAATACATATTTCACACCTGATGATGATTGCTTGTGTTGCAGTCGAAACGTCGTGAGAATTTTTATTGTTTTATATTTGTATTATTTTATTATTTCCCTTCTACGTGACTTTACCGAAAGAACCAAGAATACGAGTCCCATTTTACTCCAAATAAAAAAAAGGCCTGGATAGTAACACAACTTATTTTTTTTTTATAACGCCACGTTTCTCTCGTTTACCAAACCATCACCGGTCGCAAGCGTTACCGTGACCTCTCCCCAAGTGACAAACCTTGACCCCCACCGCGCATGGGGCGAGGGTTTGTCACGTGGGGTCAACGTGGGTTTGAACAATCATCAGGCGCGTGAAGCGCGTAACGAGTTGAATTTGTAAATTGGTTATTGCATTTTGGTGGGTGGGGGGGTTCGCGAAAGAACATTTTTGGGGAGTTTTCTTTTTTCGGGGGCGGGGGGGAGTGGAGGGTGAGTTTAAAAACGCACCACTGCAACTTTCTTCAAACCTTAACTCCTGCAAAAAGCTTTTCAACAACGCAAAAGATGTGGCCCCAACGGGCATGTAAGTTGTAGCCATACAGTATTCACAGCCTCGGTTGCGTATTGCCAAAAAAAATACTTTGCATTAAAATTATTACTGTTATGAATCAGTGATAATAATAATTATAAAACTAAACTTCATCGCGTTGGCTGCTGAACGCGCATGCCACTCGGTTAACGTCCGGAGCACAACGACCTTTTCATTGGCCACGCAGCTCGCCCCGGGTATGGGTTACACGGCTGCTGCGATGCAGATGCTCGTCTGGCTGTGGACGAGTCAGTTTTTATGCCCACACCCCCCTCTCCCCACCCCACCCCGACTTCTTGCTTATGTAAGTGACCTCGAGTTTGTTGAATCTCTCCGCCGTGACGTGGGGTGGCGCACGCGGTGGAAGAATTACGACGGGCGGAGGCTGGGAGAGGCTGCAGCGCCACCTTGTGGCTCGGGTGCCTATGGGCGAACCAAAGTGATCTCTGTGTGTGTGTCAATGCCGTGAAAACGTAAGCCAATGGGGGGGGGGGGGGGATGGGTGTTCTTATAAATCTGGGGGTACGCGCCATTCCCTGGGGTTGCGAGATGTCCTTTCTGGGGAGGTGCGAGATATGGACAGATTTTTTAAATACATTTTTTTAAGAAGGTAAATCGTCAAAAACACATGTTTTTTTCGGTAAATCACGAAAACTTCAAATCTACATTATGCACAGGCGCGCAAGTGAAACGTAATTTGTTTAATCAAACGCTACGTGTATTTATTCATTAACATTATAATTTTTTTTTACGATTGCGAACCAAAGGGGTGCAAGTCTGCAGGAAAGTTAAGAAACCGGTCTCTAATAGACGATATGCAATAATAATAGGTTTTCCCCCTTTTTCTGGCAACAAAACGGAAACCTTTTTACGAGGAATCGTGTGTGCATTAACCACAATATCTGTGGTCAAAATGCAAACAAAAAACACTGATAATATAGCGACTGGGAGTGTGAATCACCGAGTGAAGTTTACGGGAACGGTATCAGAAGATTCATTTATATTGGACTAATCCAAGGAGCTATAAAGCTCTTTTTTTCCCACAGACGTCCAGTCGAAGCACGGGGTCAGAACGTCCCATCAGCAAAAATACTAAAAACACGATAGGAGTGTCAAGTATAGGAAAGGTAAATACAACGTGGAGGGCAAAACTGTAGGGACCCGGAGAAAAATCCACGCGACCGCAAGGAATCATACTCTTTGGTTCTTTCGGTAAAGTCACGTAGGTATAAAATAAATAAATCACGACTATTTCGGGCGCAACACAAGCGTCCATCATCAGGTGGGGACAGCCAGAGCAAGAAACAATTGCTGATTTTATTTATTTTCTACCTACGTGACTTTACCGAGAGAACCAAAGAGTATCGATCCCTTGCAGTCACTAAAACTTTAAATCCAGAATGCAGGGAGAGCCACAAGCAAACCCCAAATACACAGCATGCAGGCGTCTGGGACGGGATCGAACCCACGACCTCTTGCATACCAGGCGAGGCGGTTAACATCTCCTAGCCACCGTGACAGGGCGAGTGAAGTTCACGAGCACGTTCACCACGGTATCAGTAGCGATCGAAGAGAGGCAGGAGAGGCGACTAGCCCACCACGTGAGTGAGTGAATCAGCGAATGAAGTTCACGGCAAAGTTCACCATGGTAGTAGTCGTAGCGATATGGAGGGGACTGCTCACAGATTGAGTGAGCGATTGACTCGGCGAGTGCTGGATCAGCAATCCAGCCGTTTGTTGATCGAGTCAAGTTGACTCAGGGGAGGGTGTGTGAATTCCAACTTTGACAACATTGAGTTTGTACACACAAGACGCAAACTGCTCCGTCGATCATTTGCAATCAATCTTTATTCAAGTATTTTGAAAGATTTGTGTTTTTTTCCTCTCTCTCGCTCGTCTTTTTTTTAGAATTTTTTTTTGGTATTTAATTGTGCTGCAGGCTTTCGTAATATATTTAAATACGTTAACGATCAGAAACAAATCTAGAAATAAATACGTTTCCCCCACCCCCAACATTTTGAACGAACATTCGTTTCAGAAATTGCACAACACAGAGATATAAATTTAGCTCATCTCTTTTTCTTTTGGAGGAACTCAAAAAACCTTACCCACCCATCCCGTTGCCTCCATCCGACTGAAACATTTGATAAATGTGCAACTTGGCAAAACATTTGCCGTTTTCCGAAAAAAATAACAAAACACACATTTCGAAAAAGCCTTAAAAAAAATAAAAGCATTAATTCCAAAGAAGCAACTTTCCTTTTGAACCCTTGGCCTATCGTGCAACTACAACACACACACATAGGTACAGAACGACGCTACGCACATCTCCTCTCGCCGCCAGTCGGACGCATGCCCCCAAAAACCCACGGAGAACCACTCACCCACTCACCCGGCAAGCAGCACAATAAGCTGTTGTGTGCCGAGTCATATTTCTATAAAGATGTTCCACTCATCCGAACCTTTCTTTTTGTACGTCTCACGCTCTCCCCGCCTCGGCGAGGTCGGATGCGTACGCGACGTTGTCTTGCAACGGCGGCGATGTCGTTAAAAACAAAATGTTTTTTTTTTTTCCATTTTCTTCCCCTTCAAATTTTTCTTGTAAATAATTGCACCGTCTTTTCCGGTTAACCCATACGGGGGGGGGGGGGGGGTGAGGGGGGTACGTGCCAAAATGCATCTATTCATCTGTGCCTTAAAAAAATAAACTTTACACATCTCCAAAATGCTTGGTCTCAAAAAAAAGAAAACCCGTACATTCTATATTAATTCTTGGCCATGAGCTGCGCAACTCTACAAACCAGAACAAGTTCAAGCTCTTGATGCGAGAGGAACCGCAGAGCCGTCGTGTACAAAAAACGCGTTCTCGCGAAACACAACACGTGCCGGCAATATCGACAACGACGATATCATGATTGTTGTTGTTAAGCACACCGAGGTCAAGTGCTGCCCGTGCAGGCAGGCAAGTCTGGCACAGGGTGTACGCGGTGTGTCTAAACTGCATTGGTTACGTAGGGGAGGGACACACACACACAAGGCAGAAGAGTGGTAAGCAGTCTCCTACAGGCAGGGCAGAGCTAAACCAGCCGGCGAGGTATTATCCAAAAGATGACCTTCAGGGCGTAGAAAAGCGCCACGCTTGCAGCACGCGTAACTCCGCTGCTGGACGAACGCCTCCTAAAAGCTGGGTACCCCCCCCCCCCCCTCTCACGAGGGTGGGTTGTTGTTTTGACCATATTTCACCAGGCTCGCCAGTGTGGCGTTTGTGAAGGGAGATGTTCGGGAAAGGTGGGGGAGGGGGGGGGGTGTTGGGGTAGAGGCCCAGGACTGGTTCAGATATCGATCGCCACACCGATGTTGGCCGTGGATCGAACGGGAGTCGCCGAGTGTGTAGCGGAGTGTGCTAACCACTGCGCCACCACTCCCCCACCACCACCTCCGTCACCCACATGTAAAAACCCATCCCAAAAGCACGAAACTGCTCTGGTCCCCAAGGTCAACGGCTGAGCTGTACGTAGCGGCTACTCGTGGCGTCACGCGGAAGTGCCAGGCGACCTTGGGCGTACAAAAACCTTGAACAACGCGCAAACGTAAAAACCAAAAAATTGAACCCGTGGCGGCAAAAAAAGAAACGGGCGACAGACAGCGCCCCGGCGACAACAGCGAACGAACTTTTATCTAAAGCTTTCGTGACTGCAGGGATTCATCTTCTTGGTTCTTTCGGTAAAGTCACGTAGAAGGGAAATAATAAAAAAAAACATAATAAAATAATTCTCACGACGTTTCGGCCCCAACGCAAGCAGCCGTCCTCAGGTGAAGAACAGGGCTGTCAGACGCTGTCTTCCCGACAGACCTGTTCTTCACCTGAGGACGGCTTCTTGAGTTGTGGCCGAAACGTCGTGATAATTATTTTATTATGTTTTATTTTTATTATTTCCCTTCTACGTGACTTTACCGAAAGAACCAAGAAAACAGCGAAACTAACTTCGGCCAAAGTCCGTGGTGACTCGTCGCTGCGTTCCCGGGGCCGGCGGTCGGAGCGTAGCAGCAGCGGCCGTGGCTTCAGGTCAGAAACATCGCGGCTCCCCCGTGTGGAGAGTTGCAGCAAGCGGGCGGGTTGGTGGGGAGAGGGCTCGAGAGAGCGATCGTGCCAACGAGGGCATTAACAAACTTGAAGATTACATCTTCTTGGTTCTTTCGGTAAAGTCACGTAGGATGGAAATAATAAAAATAAAACATATTTTTGTTATTTTATTATTTCCATCCTACGTGACTTTACCGAAAGAACCCAGAAGACGAATCCCTGCAGTCACGAAAGCTTTAAATCGAAATTGAAGATTACATTTTAGCTTTAAAAAAAAACAAACACGAAAATATTCGAATTTTGCCGACCACAGAAAACGGCACTGTTGAACTGCTGCGGCCGAGACAAAAAGCGATCGTTGACCGACGCCGCCCTTTTAGACAATCGGCGGCGGCGGTCAACCTTCATCCCGAATCCGACCCTCTTGCGTTCTCTGCTGTCGTCGTTTGGCAAAAAAACAAACAAACAGGCCGCCAATCGCGGCGTCACGGGGCAGCGTTTGGCAAGCACCGGGGGTTTGGGGGGGGGGGGGGGGAGTTTACCGTCGTATGTTTACAAAACTGTGCGAGGGACAATAAAAAATATATCCTCTAAATCATCGATTCGATAAAGCCCGATTTGAATCATCGGGCAGTGACGACTCCAAAAACCGATAAGGCGACGTGTGAGATATAAAAAAAAAAACACAAATCCCGCCCCGTGAATGAAAAAAATAAATCGATCGGTTGCATCACATGGCCACCGACACGACCCGCTGCTGCTGCTGCCGCCCCCCTATAGCCGTGCTACGGTGCAGGCCGAAGCCTGGCGGTGGAGTGGTGGTGGCGGCGGTGATGGCGGCGCGGTTGGGACCTCTCCTCATCTTGCCGTCGGAGGGCGACGTCGCGTTGGCGATGAAAGAAGGGCCCAGGAAGTGGCCGGAGTGCGGCGACAGGGTCGTCGGCAAGGCGCCGGCAGTCGCAGCAGCAGCAGGGCCGCCGGCCCCCGCCACCCTGGCACCAGCCCTCATGATGGGGGGCGCACGCCTCCGCCGCGCCGGGTAGGACGCGGGGTGCGCGGGCCACATGTACAGCGGGTGGTAGACCAGCTCGGCGACCTGGGCGCCGACACAGAGGGAGCCGTCAGAGGTGTGGGTTGACGGACTGACCGATCGGGAAGATGCAACGCCAGGGGATGGAGGGCAGGGGATGAAGGGCTGACGTCGGGAACCGAGCGAGTGAATGAGCGACTTGCCGAGCAAGTGGTCGAGCGCGAGAACGAGAGTGAACGAGCGAGCGAGCGAGCGCCGTACCGCGTGGGCCGTGACTGCGCCCTCACCTGGTAGTGCGCCATCGTTGCCGCGGGGTGCTGGAAATGAACGGAGGTCGGCGCCAGCGTAGCGACGCCGTGCGGGGCGGCCGCGGCGAGCGTCACCGGCACGGCGTACCTCGCCATGGTGCCACCGCTCGTCATCGCCGTCGCCGGCCACGGGCGGCGCGACTGCCCCGCCGCGGCGACCCCCCCCTCCTCCTCCTCGTCCGACGACGGCGTGGAAGACGACGTCGACGACGAAGACGACGACGACGACGACAGCGGCGGCCAGAGCGAGGAGATGGCCGAGTCGGTGCGGAGGGCCTCGTCCTCCGGCTTGTCGCCGTGGCCCAGGGAGGCCATCGCTCGCGCAGCGTCGTCGCGGTCGGCCGCCGTGTCGAAGCGTGCCACCGTGAAGGCGTGGTTCTTCTCGCCGTACCTGCGCAAGGCGGAGGAGGGGGGGCGGGGGAGACGAGACGACGCATTGGGGAGGAATCTGGCGGCGCGCGAGCGGAGTGGTCAAAATGTAACGGCGGCGCTCCCGCTCCCCATCCCCCGCAACCCCACCCCCCCCCGCCACCCACCACCCCAGGCCCACCCACCCATCCGCCCCCACCACCACCCCCACCACCCCCACCACCCCCCAACACAGACACGTTGCTCTCAATCTACGCTCTACCAGCGAACCGAGAAACGTCGAGTGTTAAAAGTCGCGAGCGTTGTCGCCGTTGCGCGTCGTTACGTGCGTCGTTGTTGTTGTTGTCGCACGCGCGTACTTGGTGCCTGCGTATTGTTGTTGTTTGTGCTGCGCGTGGGGGGTGAGAGGAGAACGACGAGAGGGAGGGGCGCGGGGGCGATGGGAGTAACGAGAAGGGGGTATGGGGGGGGGGGAGTCCCTAGGAGGAGTTGTTCGGCTGACGCAAGAGTGACGGGTTGGGGTGCAATAACGGCAGCAACTCGCACACACACATCTCGCCGGGTGTGTGATGGTATCGGGTTGTTAGCGAGCGTCTCTTAAGGCCGGTGTGAGATGGATGCAAGTGTGAAAGGAGGGTGGAGCATTGTGGACACGTGCATCCGCACATCACCGCAGACTCGCACATAAAAACGAAGACAAAGACCGGCCGTGTAGCCTTCACGGACTGCTGGGGCAAGTGCTGTTAAGCGAGCACTTATTCAGGCCGGCAAGGCGCACGAAGGGGTGGGGTGGCCAGCAGCACGCCCGGCCGCCTTTGTCTCCCTAGTGGCAATGTTTACACACCGCACCAGGTACTCATTTGAGGCCGAGTCGACCTAGGGGAGGCCCAGAAAGGGTATGGGTGTGGCCACAACCACACCTGGCCATGACCGATGTTCACAGATCGTACCAGATACTGTACAGTATTAAATTAAGGCCGAGTCAACCTAGAGGATGTACCAGAACAAGCGCGGATGGCCCACGCGGTTCATGTTAAGTCATGCACTTGACCGATTGCAGGACATTGAGCAAACTATTGAGAAAACACTATTGCCGCAAACCACGTAGCACACATACACGCCAACAACTGCCAGTTAGCCACTAAATGGCCGTGCCAGGCTAGGTGCACTCCCGAGGCCATGCGAAATGTCGAAGGTTCGTTCGCAGCAAGTCACGGGACAGACCCGGGTGCCACGGGTTGAACGAGATACATGCTCGCACAAAGAAAGACAAAGATCTCCCGTAAAAAAAAACAACAACTTGATTTGGTGCTTTCAAAGTTGATTTGCCGCTTTCGTGACTGCAGGAATTACTCTTTGGTTCTTTCGGCAAAGTCACGTAGAAAGAGAAAATAATAAATTAAATAACAGCACACGACGTTTCGATTGCAACACAAGCAACCGTCATCAGTGTACAAATGAAAGATAAAAAACCTAGTAAACTTAGAAATACAATGTGACACAACACAGATAGTCGGCTAACACAACAGTCAACACCCTACCTGGTTGATTACGTTCTTCCAAAGATTGCTAATTTAATCCCCCGTATAGCCATGACAGTCTGTAGGAGCAAGTGCTGTTCGGCAGCACCGATGAAGGCCGCCAAGGCATGCGAGGGGGGTGGGTAGCCAGCACCAGGCCCTGGCGATGTTTACACAACGGAGCAGAGGTATGTGTCAGAGGTCGCAACCAGGTACCCGATACCCGTACACTACCCGATGCCGGGTACGGGTAGCCGTTTGCGAACCTGGTGCGGCCGGGTACGGGTAGGCCGTGAGTCACTGGTGAGTAACCGTTTGTCACTCATTTCGGGTAGGGTATGGGTACGGGTAGGGAACGGGTACCCGTTTGCGACCCTGGTGCGGCCGGGTACGGGTAAGGAATCAAAACCCGTTTGCGACCTCTGGTATGTGTGCACCTTGAAGTTCTTTCGCACCGTACGTACGAAGCCACAACGCGCTAAATCAGAGGTGTGGGGGGGAAAGGAATACAAACTCAAACTCGACCTAGCGGAGAGCAAGGATCAGTTCAGATCCAAGTCACCGATGTTGGCCGCGAGCGGGAATCGAACTCGGGTCGCCGGGTTCGTAGTGCGACGCAAGGCCAACACCCACGCCGACATTTGGCCCAGTGGTGTGACGGAACACCACACCCAGGTAACTTTTGTCTCCCCAGGGCTGATGTTTACACACCGTACCAGATGCGGGGGGCTGGGGGGTGTTGGAGGAGACACAGGACGAGGGTTCGGGTATCGCCGGCTACCGATGTTGGCCGCGTCTGGGAATCCAACGCGGATGTCGGGTTTCCCCGACCGTTAAAACGCACGCACACGCGCAATGTACACAAACACACACACGCGGAGGCACAGAAACACACGATGCATGAAGACCCCCGTATAGCCTTTAGCGGACTGTTAGGGCAAGTGCTGTTAGCGAGCAGCACTTAATGAGGCCGGCACGGCACACGAGGGGGTGGGTCGCCAGCACCACGCCCGGCCGCCACCTTTGTCTCCCGAGTCTACACACCGCACCGCTCACCACCTCCTTCGAGGCCGAGTTGACCTAGACACACAACAACCGCCATTCGCCACTAAGTGGCGGTGACGTCACCACGACGCTTGTGCCAGGCCACGTGCACCTTGAGGCCACGTGAAGCCCGCTGGCCTAGACACACGTACACTTACACACACACTCGCGTGTTTTCGACCCTTTCAGCAGAAGCACTCGAACTGTGAGCACGGCAAACTCCCCCCTCCCCCGCCGCGCGCCACGCAACTCCTCAGCAATGCGTGGCGGCGGCGGTGACTCACGTCGGGGTCGTTCACACTTCCCGTACCTCGCTCGCTCGTCTCTCCAGCTTCCCGGCTTTTCGCAACAACTTGAGTCCCCGGCCGCGGGGGCCTGAGTCATCCCCCACGGAGGCTATGGCGACCCGCTAACCTCACCACCCTCCCCCTCCCCACTCCCACAGCGGGCCACGTGCGTCCAAAGACAAATATCCCCCCGTGTAGCCTCAACAGAGTTTTGGGGCAAGTGCTGTTAGTTAGCGAGCAGCCCCTATGAAGGCCAGCGTGGCACACGAGGGGGTGGGTGGCCACAGTGCCACCCCCCCGGCCGCCTTCGTCTCCCTAGCGGCGATGTTTACACACCGCACCAGGTACTTATTTGAGGCCGAGTCGACCTAGCGGAGGCCCAGGACCACTTCAGAAAATCGCCCACCTGGCGATTGTGGTTGTGAGCGGGAATGGAACCCGGGTCGCCGGCTTCGTGAGCACACAAAGTAGAAAGATCCCCTCCCCCCCTATCGCCTTAACAGACTGTTGGACGCAAGTCTGTTAGCGAGTAGCGCCTGAGCACACAAAGGCAAATGTCCCCGTATAGATTGTAACAGACTGTCCCGGGGCAAGTGCTGTGAGCGAGTAGCACCGATGAAGACCGACACTGTACACCAGGGTGTGTGGGTGGGTCAGCGGCACGCGCCCGGCACACAAAACACTTATCCACAGACAAAGATCCCCCCGTGTAGCCTTAACAGACCGTTGGGGCAAGTGCTGTTAGCGAGTAGCACCTATGAAGGCCGGCACGGCACACGAGGGGGTGGGTGGCCAGCACCACGCCCGACCGCCTTTGTCTCCCCAGTGGCGATGTTTACACACCGCACCAGGTACTCATTTGAGGCCGAGTCAACCTAGGGGAGGCCCAGGACCGGTTCAGATAATCGTCACTGGGTGTTGGCCGTGAGCGGGAATCGAACCCGGGTCGCCAGGTTCATAGCGCAGCTCGCTAACCGCTACACTATTTTTTGATTTAAAGCTTTCGTGACTGCAGGGATTCATCTTCTTGGTTCTTTCGGTAAAGTCACGTAGAATGGAAATAATAAAATAATAAAAATAAAACATAATAAAATAATTCTCACGACGTTTCGGCCACAACGCAAGCAGCCGTCCTCAGGTGGAGAACAGGTGGAGAACAAGACAGAGTCTGAAGCTGTCTTCTCGACAGACCTGTTCTCCACCTGAGGACGGCTGCTTGCGTTGCGGCCGAAACGTCGTGAGAATTATTTTATTATGTTTTATTATTTCCATTCTACGTGACTTTACCGAAAGAACCAAGAAGACGCTACACTATCGCTCGCACAGGCATGCACACACACACACACGCTCAGGCACGCACACACGCACGCACGCACAGGCACGCACACACATGCACACACACACACACGAGATCTGCACCACCCAAGTGCCGGGGGGACACTCACCTACAGCACACCTCGCAGGGGTCCACCCACAGCGTGAGCTCCCGCGGGAGGCACAGGTCCACGAGCCGCAGGCCGCTGTCCCGGCACGCCGCCACCAGCACCGGGTCGGCCCGCTGCGTCGCGTTCACGCGGATGCACCTTGCGCAACACGCAGAACGGCAACGTGTTAAACTCGAAACTAAACGTTGTATTTGTCGCCAGGTAAGAAGCGACCACCACAAATGATAGCGCGAGGAAGTCGGCTTATTATCGTGTGGACATGTAGAGCAGCGGTCAGACACTTCATCTGTTAAACTCCACAGGGTCCACACAGCACGCACGGAAGAAGGCCTCCTTCATCAATGCCCGTAGCCTCACACAGATGATTCAGCCTCACACAGATGATTCAGCCTCACACAGATGATTCAGCCTCACACAGATGATTCAGAATACTTCACATCGTCACGGTAGAGAGAGTGGTGGTCCTTTAGTTATTTTATTTTTTACACGCTTTCATTTAACTCACTTTGTTGTTGTTGTATCCTCAAATATTATTTTTTAGAAGCGAGCCGGCTATCACAAATGATAGCTCAACGAGGTGGCTTATTATCGCGTGAAAATGAATAGCAGCCAAATACTCTAAACGCACGTTGATTCTAAATGAGGAGGAGAATCGGAGAAAAGTCTACACACCACCGGGATGACATGCAAACTCGAAATATACAGCAGGCGATAAGGGTCGAGATCGAAACGACGACCTTGTGTATACCAGGCGAGGTAGTTAACATCTCGCCAACACAGACTGTTAGGGCAAGTGCTGTTTGGTGAGTCGCAGCACCGACGAAAGCCAGCAGCGTCACACGAGGGGGGTGGGTGATCAGCACCACGCTCGGTCGCCTTTGTCTCCCCAGTGGTGATGTTTATGACACACTGCACAAGGCACACGTTTGAGGCCGAGTCCACCTAGGGGAGGGCCTACGACCGGTTCAGATGATCGTCACTGGGTGTTAGCCGTGAGTGTGAATAAAAGTGACGTACAAATGTACACAAACACACACACACGTGCACATGGGTACGAGACACGAGGAAATGGTGCATTTGACGAGCAAGCGGGGACAGGCGGAGGAGGAAGCCCGAACAACTGATGCAACAACGGACCTTTGAACGCGATGCAAGTCTATGGGTCTGTATATATGTTGGTCTGTAAAGGTGTATGTAAATCTATGTCGGCGTCCATCTACATACGTGTAAAATGGCAAAGCACCTGGAGGCTTTTGTACACGTACTGACGTACACATTTTACACAACAAAAACAAATATCCGCCCAAACTCCCACCCCCCCATAGCTTTAACAGACTGTGGGGGCAAGTGCTGTTAGCGAGCACCTGTGAAGGCCGGCCCGGTACATGAGGGGGTGGGTGGCCAGCACCACGCCCGGCCGCCTTTGTCTTCTCAGTGGCAATGTTTACCCATGGCACCAGTTACTCATTTGAGGCCAAGTCAACCGAGGGGAGGCCCAGGACTGGTTCAGATAATCGTCACTGGTGGTGGCCGTGAGCGGGAATCAAACTCGGGTCGCCGTGCTCATCGGTCGGTGAGTGCGCGGGTGAGTGGGTGGGCGAGTGGGCGAGTGGACTGCATGAGTGGGCAAGTGAGTGCGTGTGTGAGTGGGCAAGTGAGTGAGTGAGCGAGTCAGTGGGCGAGTCAGTGGGCGAGTCAGTGGGCGAGTCAGTGAGCAAGAGTGGGTGGGTGAGTGAGTGAGCGAGGGAGTTCGTGTGCGAGTGGTTTAGTGAGTGGTTGAGTGAGTGGGTGAGTGAGTGGGTGAGTACGCGAGTGAGCGTGTGGATGGGCGAGTGGACTGCATGAGTGAGTGAGTAGTGTGTAGGCGAGTCGGTGGGCGAATTGGTGGGCGGGTGAGTGGGTGAGTGAGTGAGCGAGGGAGTTCGTGTGCGAGTGGTTGAGCGAGTGGGTGAGTGCGCGAGTGAGCGTGTGGATGGGTGGACGAGTGGACTGCATAAGTAGGCAAGCGAGTGTGTAGGCGTGTCAGTGGGCAAATCGGTGGATGGGCGGGTGGGTGAGTGAGCGAGGGAGTTTGTGTGCGAGTGGTTTACCGAGTGGTTGAGCGAGTGGGTGAGTGTGCGAGCGAGTGGGCGAGCGAGCGAATCCTCACCTGTAAGCTTGCCCTCGGCTCGGCCTCTCGGGGTACCAGTGGTCGTGGAAGCGCTGGGCGAGCCGTGCGCCCAGCGCCCGCCCAAACCGCTCGGCGTCCCCGTACGCCAGCCGCTCGCTGCGCCCCACCAGGCGGCTCATGAGGCACACGGCCGCCCCGATCTCCTCCTTCATCGCTCGCTCGCTCGACGCTTCCTCCTCCTCCTCAACGTCGTCGTCGTCCTCTCCGTCGCCGCTAGCAACAACCGACGATGTTTCGCTGCCGCAGGCTCTTCCCGGCGTTAGTCGCACCGCTGTAGTGGGGAGGGGGGGGGAGGTTGTGGGGGGAAGGTCACACACAGTGCAGCGTTAGCAATGGTCGGCCGATGTAAACACCTGTGTGGTGTCACCACAGGTCTCCTGCCCCTTGTTGAGAAGGGAACAATTCATTCCGTCTGTCACACCGCCCACACCAACAGCTCACACCAGTGACGGGTCAATATTCGTCTCGCGTCTCCCGATCCGCAACGTTTCTTTGCTCGAGTCGCCGGTCACCGCCGCCTGGGTGGGCGGCTGGCCGAGTTGGTTGGCTGAGGGGGTAGCCGAGGGGGTGACTAAGGGGGTGGGTGAGCGAGTGACCCCCCCCCCCTCCACTTCCCCATCCACCACCTCGTGAGTCACGCACAGTAATGTTACATTTCCCAAAAACGCGCAGCTGCCAGCCGAGCGACTATTGTTCAAACGGTCGGAAGATTCTTGCGTCAGTGCGGGGCGGGGGGTGAGGCGAATGCCATCGCCCCAGTCACGAGGTCAGGTCAACGCCGGGAGGCGGCTGGGGGACACGATGTCCTTTTGTTGCGTGCGAGCTCGAGGGAGCCTGCATGCGCCCGTGCCCGCATTATCTCCGTGCGCGTCCTACACCCCGCCTGCCTGCCTGCCTCGCAAGCGCGTCAGCTGCGTCTCTGCCTATCCCACAGGCGATGTCCGTCCGTCAGCATCCCCCGCGCGTGTCTCTACGTCTTGCCGTCAGTCAAAGTTTTATTTTACTTTACCAGGCCGAGGACCCATCGCCGGGCTATGCAGCTCTTTTTCAGAAGCGCCCTGGCTGCCCGCAAATTATTGCTCAACGAAGCGGCTCATCGCTGCGTGGAAACGTCCAGCAGCCAAATACTCTAAACGGATGTTGCTAAACGCGGAGGGGAAAAACCGGAGGAACGGGAGAAAAAAATCCACGCGACCACGAGAGGACACGCAAACTCCTAATGAAGCAGGCGTCGGGGTCAGAATCGAACCCACGACCTCCTGTATACCAAGCGAGGTGTTTAACAGCTCGCCACCGTTGCACCAGTCGTGTCTCCGCACCTCTGATTAGCGCGGTTGTCCACATACGGTGCGCGAAAGGTGTTCAACATACACGCATCCCATCTCTCCGTCTGTCCGCGTCCCACATCGGTCTCTGCCTCATTATCTGCGTGCATCTCTGTAGCGTGTCTTCGTTTCCGTGCCTAACCAGCGAGGCTCTCTCCGTGTTTCTGCGCGCGTGTTCCACTACTCAGTCTCTTAAACTGCCAGTCTCGAGTCCCATCGCAGTCCCCTCTCCGTGCGTCTCAAGTGTCTCCGCGTCCATCTCCCCATCGGTTACGGAGGTTGCGGGAGCGGTGGAAGGGTAACAAGCTAAGGGAGAAAAAGCAAGTTCTAAAGAAATTAGTTTTCAATCCAGATGGCGATTTAAAAGTGCAAGGCTCCAGTGGCTTCATAAAATATCGGAAAGGAGGAGCGCGTTCCAGACGGCCGCAGAAGCGCATCTGAACATGTGTTGGGGGTTATTTTTGTTATGGTCATCGGTGAGCCAAACACTCACCCCTCCTCCTCCTTCGCCTCAAGCAACCCCCCAGTGGCAACCATCAAACACCTTGGCATTCGTAAAAAACAATGCAAATTAAGTCTCATTGTTACCCCGATCTCAACCCGTATGGGTGTTTGCGTGGGGGTGTAGGCGGGCCACGAGGGGTAGGATTAAGACGTATCTGCATTTTAAATAGAAGTTAATGTTTGCACGCGTGTGGGGATTCTATCGCAAACGGTGGCTTGGCCGAACCATACGAATCAGGGGTGCGCGTGGGGGAAGGTCAACACAAGCACAAAGACACAAAAAGCAGTTCTCTAAAAGAAATGAGTTTTGGTGGCGATCCATTGGGGAGGCCTTCATCCATGCTGTGTGGACCTTGTCGAGTTTAACAGATGAAGAGTATGTGGCTGCTGCTATACATTGCCACGTGATAATAAGCCAACTTCGTTGAGCTATCATTTGTGGTGGTCAGGTCACATCTGAAAAAGAGTTACATAGGGCTCAGTGGGCCTTACCTGGTAAAATAAATAGTAGTTTGGTGTTCACCTACCCAGTGGGCCAACCCAACCGCTCACTCACTACCTCACCCACCCAACTACCTCACCCACCCAACCACTCACTCACTCACCCAACCACTCACTCACTCACCCAACCACTCACTCACTCACCCAACCACTCACTCACTCACCCAACCACTCACTCACTCACCCAACCACTCACTCACTCACCCAACCACTCACTCACTCACCCAACCACTCACTCACTCACCCAACCACTCACCCACTCACCCAACCACTCACCCACTCACCCAACCACTCACTCACCCACAAAACCACTCACTCACCCAACCACTCACTTCCCTCACTCACCCAACCAACCACTCACTCACCCACCCACCCACCACCTCACCCACCCACCACCTCACCCACTCACTCACTACCTCACCCACTCACTCACTACCTCACCCACTCACTCACTACCTCACCCACTCACTCACTACCTCACCCACTCACTCACTACCTCACCCACTCACTCACTACCTCACCCACTCACTCACTACCTCACCCACTCACTCACTACCTCACCCACTCACTCACTACCTCACCCACTCACTCACTACCTCACCCACTCACTCACTACCTCACCCACTCACTCACTACCTCACCCACTCACTCACTACCTCACCCACTCACTCACTACCTCACCCACTCACTCACTACCTCACCCACTCACTCACTACCTCACCCACTCACTCACTAGCTCAACCACACAACCACTCACTCACTACCTCACCCACCCAACCACTCACTCATTCACTACCTCACCCACCCATTCACTACCTCACCCACCCAACCACTCACCCACTCACTACCTCACCCACTCACCACCTCACCCACTCACTCACTACCTCACTCACTACCTCACCCACACCACCCACTCACTCACCAGCTCAACCACCCAGCCACCCACCCAGCCACCCACTCACCCACCCACTCGTCTGACCGCCCCACGCTGGTTGCTGTACGTGTGGATTTGAAACCCTGAACCGGTTCAGACACCACTCGCACCGCTGATAAGCCGTGGCTTTGATGCGAGGGTCCAAGGTATGGGGGACCCACCAAACAGCGTCGTAGCAAAACGTATAAAGTTCACCTCATGCTTGAGATGTCTCCTAACTCCACAAGGGAACCGAGCGTCACAACTTCGTAAAGTTCCGGAGAAACTTAAAAAGAAGCGGGGAGAACGCAGAGATGCCCCAGACATCACTCGAAGCCTCAACACGAACTGCGGCTACTTGGACACGCGTACAACAAAGAAAGAGATGAGCTTTACAGATTATCGGATTTCTTCGGTGATGAAATAAAGATTCTGAACTCAAGGCGACGTTTGCGCCATGTGCGATTTAACCCACAGAATTCCCACCGCTCCAGCTACAACAAAACAAAAGCTTCTAAAGTAGTTTTTTTCGGTAAAGTCACGTAGGTAAAACATTAAAATTAATAAAAGTAAAATAAAATAAAAATCACGACGTTTAGGAGGCAACAAACGTCGTGATTTTTATTTTACTTTTATTAAGTTTAATGTTTTACCTACGTGACTTTACCGAAAAAAACCTAAGAATATGAATCTTTGCAGTCACGAAAGCTTAAAATCTAGAACTTCTAAAGTAGCTTACACAGAGAGACGGGAGAACAAGACAAAGGGGAGGGGGGCAGGCTCAATCCACCGTTGGATGAATGCCTCTCGACCCAACAAAAATAAAAACACAAAACTCCACCGTGACGTGAGCCACACGAGCAAGTCGTAATAATACCACCACTACTAATAGTCCACGGAGTACCTGTGCACACAAGAGAGCCGCTTACATCGCTCCATCTCCGCGGTGGAGGTCACTTTTTAAATTCCACAACCTCCCCCTCTACCACCACCACCGCTCCACCAACAACAACGAACGCTTCAACCGTGTGAATAAAATTAATAGACGAATGATAACGAAGGATAACTAAGCAGGAGGGGAAGGGTGGGGGTTACGGCTCGAGCCATTTGGCGCCTTTATAAACACGTGGCTCGACTTTACGGATACACCACAACCGCCGTTTTAAACAACAACAACAACGTACACGTTAAAAAAAAAAACATTATAGTCACATTCGTGTGTTTCTATCGCTAGGTTATTTTCACGGAAGGTATATCAGGTGGAGTGCAGAGCGAGCGAGAGAGATCCGAGGAAGGAGGCTGCTTACGTTCAAGATGCAAGAACCCTTTGGCTGGAACTCAGAAAATATAATAAGCCACGTGCCACCACCCCCCACTCCTTTTATATGCCTCACTTCCGTGACGTCACGGGCAGATCGCGATTGGCCACGCCCTCGCGGTGAATTGGACCAATCGCAGGGGCGGATTATCGACGATGGGCGGTGAAGTCTCGCGACGGGAACCTCCCCTCCCCCACTTCCTCCCCCGCCCCCCCCCGCCGGATACGTCATTGCATCCGTTCCACTCACTCCTTATATGGAGCGCTGGCCCAGGATTGGTCAAATGCGACAAGCCTACTTTACGATCCCTCTGTGTGTGTGTGTATCTTTCAGAGTTTGTGTATCAATGGTGCGGTTTGTTTAAACATCGCCACGTGGGAGGCAAAGGCGACCGGGCGTGGTGCTGGCCACCCACCCCCTCGTGTGCCGTGCCGGCCTTCATAGGTGCCCGTTAACAGCACTTGCCCTAAAAGTATGCTAAGGCTATACGGGGGATCTTTGTCTTTGTTTTCGTCGTTTGAGTCTCTATGTATCTCTCTGAGTCTTTAGTGAGTCACTACGTGTCTCTAGGAGTCGCTTATGAGTCTAAGTGTCTCTATGAGTCTCTGTGTATCTCTATGGGTCTCTAGGATTCGCTTATGAATCTACGTATCTCTATGAGTCTCTGTGTATGTCTATGGGTCTCTATGATAGTTGAGTGGATTAAGTTTGTGAGCCAGATGGTTAGGATTGGGCAAACCTCGGATAATAATAAAATAGTATTGTTCTATCTACGTGGCTTTACCGAAAGACCCAAACAATAACAACATAGTTAAGAATCACAGTGAGGATATAACATATATAACATTACAAATTCAAAACATTACATTTGTTTTACTAAGTATTTTTTTTATAATAACACTATAGTGCTATTACTAAATCCAACACATTTTAACTGTTGCTTTTATTACCATGTATTTATTTTTAATTAAATTTTTTTTTTAATTTATTCAATACTTTTTATTCAAAGTTGTAGTGCTTAAAATCTATTCAATTATATCACGTGTCACTTTGTTGCCATAATTTTTTAAAGTAACAATGGGTCACATTTTTTACAGTGTAACAATAACATACTTAAGAGTCATTGTTAAAAGACAACATATAGCCCATTAAAAATAATTACATGTATTATTCATTTTAAAATTACAATTTAATCAATGGTCCTAATACTCAATCTGTTGGCCCAGTGTTCAACCAGGCTGCTATTATTAATTTTTATCAGAGCATGTTCATGTTTGCATGTTTGCATGTTCACCACAAGTACTCTGTGTGATTAATGCAGACACGATTCCTTGCAAAAGGTTTCTGTTCAGTGTTTGAACATCTTAACACAACTGGTTAATTGCCAGAACGGGTAAAACCTACTCTTACGCTATTATTATTATTATTCAATTTAAATCACCAACTGAACGCCGTGAGAAAAATGTTTGCAATTTAAATCGGTCACTTGAACGTATGTATGTTGAACTTCTTTCGCACTGTACGTAGCCAAACGTGCTAATCTGTGGTGCGCGAACGCCATCGATCTGGTCGAGGGCTACGGAAGGTGAAAATTTCCCTTCAGAACGATTGAAAAAAACATGTTGATTCAATGAAATATCGCGCATAAACAGATAGAGTTCCTTTTTCTTCGATCTGCTAAGGAAAGTTTTCATTTAGTGAGCTCATTCAAGAGCTTCGTGGAGTGACTTACCTGATAGGGATTAAAAGTAACATCAAGACTTTTAGATTTGAAGCTTTCGTGACTGCAAGGATTCATACTCTTTGATTTTTCGGTAAAGTCACGTAGGTAAAAAATCAAACATGATAGAAATAATAATAGAAATAAAATAAAATCACGACGTTTCGGAGGCAACACAAGTCTCCGTCATCAGGTGGGACCGTGACAGCCAGATTTACTCTTTCTATTATTATTTTTATTATTATTAATGTTTTACCTACGTGACTTTACCGAAAAACCTAAGAGTATAATATCAAGACTATTCGAGGCCCTGGCGCGTTGATAGATTTTATTTTATAACTGTGAAAAAGAGCTTCATAGCTCATCGGATTTCTCTTCTCCAGGATAAATGCAGATTCTGATTCTTTGTCTTCATCCCCCCCACCCCTATTCTTTGCACAAGATAGATGTGCACGCGTATAGGAAAGGTAAGTAAATCACGAAACAACTAAACCATTTTTAAATTTAAATTTTACGAGGTAAGGCCCCGCTGAGTAGTGTAGATATTTTTTATTCAGAAGCAGCCTGGCCACAAATAATAGCTCAACGAAATGACTTATTATCGTGTGGACATTTATAACAGCAGCCAAAATAATTATCGAAATCATCTAAAACGCGAGTTTCTTCATGTGGAGGGTAAAAACATCGGAGGAGTCGGAGAACCAATATGAATGGGACCACGGGGAGAACGTGCAAATGTAGAGCAGGCAGTCAGGGTCGGGATCAAACCGACGACCTCCTGAATACCAGGCGATGAAGATTGAAAACCAATTTCTTTAGAACGGTGTTTTGTGTTTGGTTTGTTGTCCTTCTGCCGCACCTCGGATTAGCGCGGTTGACTACGTACGGTGCGAAAGAAGCTCAAGCATGCGGACATACATAAGGCAACCAGGAAAGGGTGTTCAACATAAGACAACCAATTGTCGAGTTCCCTGCAAAGTGATTGTCATTTTATCGCCTCCCAGAAAGATCGTGGGCTGAGTCAACCCCACATCCCAGCATATTTATATTTTCAAGAAAGTGTTATTGATGAATCTGTACTTTCTCTCTTTAACGCTATATATGGGCAGGATTTCCTGGGTACAGAATGTGCCGAGTTCTCTGGTATTTGGCAGTAGACCAGAACTGCGAACGTGGACGTACATTTGGAAGCAATTTGGAAGCATTTATTTACATTTGCACCAGCAAAATATTATATTTTCTGGCTGGATGAACTGCGTGGATTCCTGTCTGGCTGGGCATATCGACAGAGTTGTGATTAAACTTGCGGCTTCCCAAGGGGTAGCGAGTTGATGGTCTGAGCCCGTGGGCGGCGTCATTTGACCATACTTCACCACCCTGGTCCTTGCCGGTTGGAGGGGAAGGAAGAACCGGTTGAGATGTAACTTGCCACTGAAAATGTTGTCAGCAGCCGGAAATCAAACTCAGGTACGCCGAGTTGAGAGCGCAGTGAGCTGGCTGTGATCTCATGATGAAACTCGTCTTCTCCTGTACAGGAACTCGTCTACTTATGAACACTCGACTTACGAACCTTAAGAGATACGAACAAACCTGGTCCGTATGTCCAGTTGCCTGTACGGACCGAGGGCCGTAAGTTCAACCGCCGCGCAATCGATGACGGTGGTGGTGGCATCTACATATGCAGAACGTGAAGAAGCAGTGGCGTCTACAGCTACAGGAGATTGTGCAACACTTAAAGGCATTCCCAGTGTTTTGTGCACAACGCGTTTGGAATCGACGGGAGTTAGGATGGACTTGCAAACAAATCGACTTACGAACAACCCTCTGGAAGTATAGTCGTAGGTTTTTACCCTTTTAAACTGGTACAAAACTGACACCTTTATTGCAGGTATCATGTTTGCAATAAACACAAGTAGTCAAAAAAGCAAACAAAAAGAAGCAACTCTGATAATGATAATAATATGCACTGTCCTTGAAGTTCCCATAGTGTAAATGCTTACCCCGAGCTCTCAATACTCTGATGTGTTTGAGTTGTACGCCTTCTGGTGTCATCTGGTCCAACACCAATGGGGACTGGGCTCTAAAGAAAGCCGTCTCGGGTGTGGACCAATCAACTTCAAGGATAGTGCATATTATTATCATTATCAGAGTTGCTTCTTTTTGTTTGCTTTTTTGACTACTTGTGTTGTGGTTATTGCAAACATGATGTCTTGAATAAAGGTGTCAGTTTTGTACCAGTTTAAAAGGGTAAAACCCTACGACTATATTTTGCCACTGGTAAAAGAGATCTCATAGTGTAAAAAACCCTCTGGAAGCTTACTCGTTCTTAAGTCGAGGAGTCAATGTATCAGGGAGCTGAAGAGTTGACAGCCAACGCCAGGGGGAGGCGTGGAGACGCAGAGTCGTGGAGACGTTTGGAACTCGAGGCTAGGAGACGCCCACACGCTCAGAGAGACAGAGAGACGGAGACACAGAAATACAATGAAAGGGACACGGAGATACAATGGGGTGGGGGGGGGGGGGAGACAAAGACCCCCCGTGTGGCCTAAAATAAAATGTTTCGCTCCGGATGATCGCTGCAAAGTATGACCTGTGTTTTGATTTAGTGTGCTGATCTTAAAGGTGCATTGAAGAATCCTGCTGTTGTGGAGTGACTCATGCAGCCAGCTGTGGCTGCAGGGTTTTAGTAGTACATGTTGTTTGTCGTTTATTGTGAAAATTCCGTCACAGTTCCTATGATCACTGTTACATTTCTTTATTTTGGTGATTTCGAATAGTTTCCTGGTTTGGCCATGTTTGTTTGTGGTAGTACGGAGTAAGACTGATGGCCTTAATCTAAGTTGTCTTGTGGTTGTTGTTGTTGTTTGACTTGCATCCCACTGGGATTTTTGCACACAGCGTTGGTGTACGATGTTTTTTCTGCAATATTTTGCTGTCTTTTCTGGGTTTTCTGTTTGCACTTAGTCACCTATTCACTTTAAGATGTTTTCTTGTTCATGTTTTTGTTTGTTGCGGTTGCACCCGATTCAAGAGCCGAATGGCTCACAGGGCTACACCTAATATATGAACTTGAAACTTGTGTAGCCTTAACAGACTCTTGGGGCAAGTGTTTTGAGCGATCACCTATGAAGGCCGGCAAGGCACACGAGGGGGTGGGTGGCCAGAACCACACCGGGTTGCCTTTGTATCCCCAGTGGCGATGTTTAACCACGGCACCAGGTACTCATTTGAGACTGAGTCAATCTAGGGGAGACCCGGGACCGGTTCAGATAATCATAAATGGTGTTGGTGGCTGTGAGACGGAATGGAACTCGGGCCGCCGGGTTCGTAGCGCAGCGCGCTAACCA